ATTATGCATGCTTTGATCTTTAAAAGTAAGTATGTAGAACCACCTGAACCATCTTCAGTTTAACTTGTGTCTCTTTAAGGACCTTTCTGGATAAAACATGGCCTTGCTTGACTGACCCAAAGAAAATGAGGCATTGGTTATGGACTATAGGTGCAGCCCGCTAACGGCTAAAGGCTAATAAGCCATGGCGACCGTGGCTCAGGGGGTTGGGAAGCACATTTCTAACTGGAAGGTTGCCGGTTCGATCCCCAGGCTCTCTGTCCGGGTTGTTGTGTCCTTGGGCAAGACACTTTACCCTACTACCTACTGGTGTTGGCCAGAGGGGCCGATGGTGCGATATGGCAACCTCGCTTTTGTCAGTCTGCCCCAGGGCACCTGTGGCTACAACTGTAGCTTGCTTCCACCAATGTGAGAGTGAATGAATAGTGGCATTGTAAAGCGCTTTGGGTGCCTTGAAAAGCGCTATATAAATCCAATCCATTATTATTAATAAAACCTCTGTTTTCACCCAGTGTACCCAGGACAAGCGGAGACACCTGCAGTCAGCTGGTGCTGATGGAACATATTGCTTTAATGCAAAATAATTACCTTCTCTAAAAAATCCTCAAATTTAATTGCATATTCTATGATATATTCAGCACCGTTTGTCTTTCTTTCAGAAAGATTGCTCTAAAAACTCCCACCTGAATTTCATGAAGCTTGTGGAGTCATCTGGTATAAGCTGAGGAGATGCCATTAAAATGGGCTTAGAGCCAAAGCTAATAAACATTAGCCTCACTAGCGGTGTAATGTACTAACACAGAGGATTCCTGTTTTGATGATTTGCATTAATAAATAAATAAAACTAATCCACTACATGTTTACTTCCCCAGATGCCAGGAGTACATGAGAACTACTGTACTCGCTCTTGTAGCCAACAATGACAACATTGCTTGTGGCACATAAATATAGAGGGGCACCTCCGCCTTCCTGTATCAAACTAGCTGCTAGGTCGGCATTAAGTGTTAGAGTGTGATGTAGATAAATCAGTGAGTACTTTAAGTGAGGCATTTTATTCAGTTTAGCAGCAGAATGACTTCCCCCTTGGTATGAAATTACATATGTTTTACATTCCCAAAATACTAGGGTGAAAACTCTATCCATCCAGTTTCTTCTCGTTATCCAACAAATGGTCACATGGGGTTGGAGCCTATCCCAATTGATATGGGGCGAGAGGTCACAGTGCTAACACGATCACCAATTAAGCTAACCCCACTAACCGCATGTCCTTGGACTGCGAGATCAGGATTATGTGGAGAGGACTCCTACAAACACAGAAAAAGAAGATGCAAACTCTACACAGGAAGCCCAGGACCTTGCCATGAGGCAACAGGGCTAACCGCTGTACCACTGTACTCAAAAACCACTTTAAGGTGAATTTTACATGTGGGTAGTGATGGAGAGTTTCTCAAACTCTGTTCAAATTCTGTGTCCAGAATTCTGCGTCCCTCTATAGAGGCACTCCAAACAAACTGGAGGACACACAGACATCCCTACAGACCTTCGCATTCCCCCTCTGATAGCAAAATTGTCATCACTTAGAGCCCGCGGGACCCACGTGGCTACAGAAATGATAAAACTAACCTTAAATGAAGGATCTCGGCATCACAGCTATTCCATTAAACAGTTACCTGGTTTCTAACAAAGCTGATAATAATAATTATCATGTCTCACCTGCTTCAGTGTTTGTTTATGTGTCATAATAGTGTGCCTGCTAATGGGCCGCTGTTCGCTGATATAACCATATCAGATTATTTAGTTGTTACCGGGGTGTGAATGAATATATGGCTGCATGGGAATAGGATGGCTGCACACAGCACGGGAGGGAAATTCACTCCACTCATTCAGACAACAGTACAATGCTTGGGAGCTAACTCAGAGGAGGAAAGAGCAAAAGGGCAGGTGGACCTTTTTCATGCAGTGCTAACAGTGTGTACCCAGAGAGATACTCAGGAAGACACGGTGAAAGAACAAACAGGCCTGACCTCTGATCCAGTCCATTTTTGTACACAACTGTGGACAATTAAAGAGGTAGTACACACTGAAATGTGTGTTTTTTTAAAATGTATATCATTTCTTATAAGTTCTATATAAGATACATATTCTCAATTGATGATAACAGATGAGAACTTTATACACAAAGTGTGACTGTCAGCTATGTGTCAGCAACTAGATTTCAGCTTTGCATTTTCCGTACGTTAGAGCAGCTTTCCAGCTCTGTAACCTGTCCAGTTAAGCTCTCCAGAGTATATTTGAGCGATATGATGTGCTGTGAATTTTATCTGGTTCAGCTTTAAATACTCGGCAACAAGCACTAGTCTTGCTGATTAAGCAGTGCCACTGGCAGTTTCACAGGCCATTCCTTTTTTCCCACAGTGTATTTACTCTGAACAATACATTTGAGAATAGCTTAACAATACGCTTGTGTAACACAACCGAAAACCTGTTTAAGCCTCCGTGTGCAGTATGTGTAAAAGAAAACAGCGTTTCTTTGGTGAACAACTTCTGATTTGAGCATGAGACTTAAAAAAAAAAAAAAACAAGATGTGAAAACCCAACTTTGGCTCTGGAAAGTTTAATTGGCATATCTGAGTAATTGGATCAGATCAGCACTTAATGAAAATATAAGCTGCAGGCCTATTCACATGCATGAATTCTCACTACCTGGCCATTTCTCTTTCCCCCCACAATCTCCTAACTCAATATCACACATCTGTTTTTTTTCTGGTCACTTAAGTCCAACTAAATGAGCTCAGGTGTCACCCCAACCGACAGGTTCAAAACTGTTGTATTCTCCAGCTCGTTTTGCCTTTGGCTGCAGAGCAATGTGAAAGATAATACGTATGAAGTGCAGGGGTGAGCAGAATATCACAAACCAGATTAAATGCGGCCCTCTTCCCAACCTCCCAGCCTTCCCCCTTCCTCTTATGCCCTTGGAGCCCACTCTTCTTATCGTTTCACCTTTGTGTGTCTTAAATAGCTTATTTTACTCGCCTTTTCGATCTCTTTCTTCCTGTTCCTCTTTTGTGCCTGATTCTCATCTTGCAAATCTCACCCACCCACATCTTATTAAACACAATGGTCACCTTTTCCTGGTGTGTGTGAGTGTCTGCTCCAGTGTGTCTAGGAGTTTGGATTTTTAGTAGAAACAATGAGCTGACTCATCATGCAGCATGCATATTAGAAAGTGTCCACCACCAACCCACGCATATATCACACCATGGAGACTGACACACACACACACACACACACACACACACACACACACA